GTGTGTGAGAGAGAGAATATCGATCAGCCGGTATTTCTCCACAGACACACATATATGGGCTGAGAGAGAGAAATACCCGTTACCAATATTTCTCCAGAGACACATATATGGGCTGAGAGAGAGAAATATCCATTACCAATATTTCTCCAGAGACACATATATGGGCTGAGAGAGAGAGTTTCAATCAACTGATATTTGCCCATATAGATCAACCGATATTTGTCCACACACACACAGATATACATATATATAGAGAGAGAGAGAGAGAAATGGAAGATATTCTACTGAAAGATGAGTGGGGGGAAATGAATGTAAAAGCACCCATATCTCTACTCAGAGAGGAGAGAGACTTTGGATTCACCCAAAGACTGAAAACTAGGAGGGGAATCACGGGCAACGGAGAAAAATAAAAAATTAAATTCTGAGAAGGCAAAAGACAATAAAACAGACATTTAGCTTTTGAAGGAAGTCACTGAACACAAACCTGAATGAATTTTTTCTAATCACTGCTTGGCACCAAGGGTCTGGTAAATAAAATAATAAAACATAATGAATATGCTAAACATATTGAGAAAACCATAGGTTTTAAGGAGTACGTTGAAGGACAAATCTTACTANCTAATCACTGCTTGGCACCAAGGGTCTGGTAAATAAAATAATAAAACATATTGAGAAAACCATAGGTTTTAAGGAGTACGTTGAAGGACAAATCTTACTAGCAATTCTAAGAATGGACAAGAAAGGCACTTGAGAAAAGATGGGGTCTCAATGGATATGCAACGATATACATATCAGTGATCCTAAGAATGCAGATTAGAATTGTTAACAATAAAGCTCTATGTTCACAGCTTAGGATCTTTCAAGAATAAAATCTCATTTGAAGTTTCTCCAGTTAAAAATAGCATGTTATTTGGTGAACTTCTATCTCACTTCAAACTTTGGGCCTGTAACTAGGTGGCCACGTGGATAACAGTGTCAGGCTGATATCAGCAGATGGAGCAAAAACCTTGGAAATAGCGAGAGGACATTGTGCTCCAGTCACATGCCTGGGTCAGTCTACAGATGGCAACTACCTTGTGACAGGATCCCGAGATGCAACAGTTCTACTCTGGAGGATACATCGGACATCAACTTCCCGCTCTAGCAGCATGTCAGAGCTTTCCACAGACCCAGGCACGCCAACTTCTAGTGGAAGCAATGCTCTAGCTAACAATTTGGCAGACAAGAGCAGGAGGCGCCGTATTGAAGGTCCCATACATTTCCTCCGGGGCCATCATGGAGAAATAATTAGCTGTTGTGTCAGTTCAGATCTTGGAATTGTTGTCTCATGCTCCCACTCATCAGATGTTTTGCTGCATTCAATCAGAAGGGGACGCTTGATCAGAAGGTTGGTTGGTGTGGAGGCTCATGCAGTCTGCCTTTCATCTTATGGGATTGTAATGGCTTGGAACAAATCACTACATACTCTCAGCACTTTTACTCTTAATGGGACGCTGGTTGCCAGGGCACAATTCCCGTTCTCCTCTAGCATTAATTGCATGGAGGTTTCTGCTGATGGACAGAAAGCTTTAATTGGATTGAACTCATGTCTAGAAAGTGATGGAGCCTTTGATAACAGCAGGCATTTAAAGTCTAAAATGCCAGGCACTGAGGATCTTTCTGATGAAGAAAACAGACTGGATATTCCATCGCCTTCAATTTGCCTCCTTGAGTTGCCCTCTCTAAAGGTATACAAAAATGAAATGTGCATCAAACTAGAGTTTCATGTCTATGAGCTTCATTTTTATGAAGTAGTTAGGAGTGACAATTACTGAGCAGCAGGTGCACAATATGCTTCCCACAGGCCAAAAATAGACTAGCTGCTGTAATATGTTGTTAGTCCAATCATAGACCCACTCATTTCCTGTTATTGTACTCTGCCACACCACATGTTATACTTACATCAGTGTTTTTTTTTTTTTTTTTCNCTACTAATTTCAAGAAATTTCGACAGAGTTTTCCTCTAAAAATAGAAGCCCAAAAAAATTTGAACATATCTACAAAACTTGCAACCATCAATACATACCCACCAAAACAACCATCATTCCATACATACCCAACCACCATATCACCACAATTATCAATATACTAGCAATTACCAGTGACGTAACAAAAATTTAAATTAAACATCAAAAAATACTACATGACCTAAATACTATTTGCAACCTAAAACAACCTATCAATTTGAAATCAAGGTAGTCCATACTATTATCCAGAAATTTTGACAAAATTTTCTCTAAAAAACGGAACCCATAAAAATTTAGACATATCTACAGAACTTACAATCATACTTAACAATCATTATAATTCACCATACCACCACACTAATCAATACATACTCAATCATCAACACACATCCAACCACCAAAACATCAAGTTAGTCCCTACTAATTTCAAGAAATTTTGGCAAAATTTTCTCTAAAAGTAAAAATCCAAAAAAATTTGAACATGTCTATAAAACTTACAACCATCAATACATACCCACCAAAACAATCATCATTCCATACATACCCAACCTCCAAATCACCGCAATCATCATAATACACCATATCATCACAATCATCAATATATACCCAACCACCAAAACAATCATCATTTCATACCCAAAATTATCATAACTATGTATAATTAGTTAACTGTACAAAAGATGAAACACAAAAAATACACACACATGCAAAAATAGATAAACACCTTCAACTTCATATTCACATCCTTCCATGTATACTTGAAAAAATTTTAAACATAAAAATTATACAAATATGTGAGACAAAATAAAACAATTATAAATCCGAAACATAAAACCCCTTACTTTTATCTTTAGTTGAATTCAACATAATTATTGTCATCAATTTCATTACGCTGAATTATCTAAAAACTAATGAGCACACACATTTATATGTACGGGGAGGAGAAGGAGGATTTAGATTGATATAAATAAGAATTTAGAGAGACTGTAAGAGATTACCAATTTATTTAGGAAAAGATATGGAGGAGTGTAGAGAAAGACTTACGACCAAATAATCAAGCTCCTATCGAATTGGACATGATGTAGAAGAGAAGAGCACATAGTATTTCTATGTAGCATTTCAACAAACAGTTCATTTGCCTAATGATTTCAAACATAAATCTTTATTGGTGTTAGTATAGTGGTGTGCGAGTTCGATCCGCGAGTGTTTGATTGGTTGCAATTACGTGTGTGTTTATGCATGAGAAGAAAAGAAATATAGAGATTCTCAGTAAGAGAGACAGTCACACCTTGGCAATAGTTTAATCAGTGGTGGGTTAGTCATCGTCAGAGGTGGACAGCTCCGTACTGGATTGCAGATCAATAATCTCATCTTTCAATAACTCTCTTAAATGTCCTCTTCATCTCTCTAAACCTTCTCTTCATCACTATCCTTAATGTTCTTGTAACAATACGAACGTTCTTTGCCCATTTGGGGGAATGCACAACCACTTAAATTATTCACATAAACAAAAAAATTAACACAATATATATATATTGTAGGAATAGTAAAGTTATTTTAATGCAGTGACATGAGAGTAAATTTACCTAATTACACCGGCCCCATCCACAAAGGTCCATTGTATATACTCCATCATTCTCTTTGGCAAATTCACTCCAATCCTACAAGGATTAAACCTCATAATTAAAATTCACTCCAATACATAGTAAAATTAAAATTTAAGATGTTGAAAAGATTATATAATTCAGTAGAAATAACTTTGTTTAAACTATACCATTTATTTGTCATAAGAATCTTATAATAGAACTTTTGGGTAAACAATATTTATGGTGCAATTCGACCCATCTTCTGAAGGAGGACACTAATATGATATGAAGCTATGCATTTGGACAGTGCCACATAAAAGTGTCGGCAAATTAATCCCAACGAACTTGACAGATTATCATAACCTAAGTTAACCAGACAAATAACTGACGTCTTGTCATTCAAAAAGGAAAGTTCAAAGATGTTGGTGGTCTAAATTTTCAAAATGAAGACTAAATTGCCACTTTTATCTCCATTTAATATTTGAGCTTCAATTNTGATTAGGAATGTAATCGAGCCGAGTTTTGTAAGTTAGAACCGAGTCTTATTTTTTTAAATAAGATTAAAAAATTATTCAAACTCGGCTCGTTTTTATTGTTTAGAAAACGAGTTGAGCTTGAACCAAATCGAACTCAAGCCGAGTTCGAGTAACTTAACTATTTCATATGTAAATGAGTCTGAACCTTTAGAAAAATGAGCCTAAAAAATGTTCAAACTCGACACGTTTTAAAAACAAACCAAGCACTAGTAACTCGGTTCAATTGTCGGTCATAGTCATAAATAGCTCTTGCTTTTGGTTAATTGAAGTTATTCAAGACAATTTATTCTCTGCACAAAGGTTTTGTTATAAGCTAAACATTTAAACGTTCGAAAAACCAACAACTCCACGAGTCGAAAAAATTTACGAGGCTTCTACCGTTAACGTGTTTTTACAACTCCAACACATTAAATTTTCTGTGCAGCCATTTCAGGTTTTACATTACATACACTGATCATATATATTCACTGTTTGAAACAGGGAGGATGGTGGGAAGGGAAGTGAGATATGACAACTTTTCCTCTGGCTCTTCCAGTTTCTAAGTGTCGAAAAGCTTGAATAACATGAGAAAAATGATAAGGACCTGTTGGATCAATCACTGCCTTTAGCTTTCCAGCCTCTAGGTATGGGCTAAGCTTTTCTAAAATTTCCCCAGAAACTGTCAAGCTTGAATGGACTGCTTTTGGGTTTGATGGAGGCCATGTTATGTCAATGATTGGTGCATCTTCCTTTGCTACCACAAATGAGTTCTTGGAGTCACCTGAATGTGAATTTTAATTGAAGAAAATTGATATTTGAAATTAGTTAAACAACCTTAGAAAGATAATGTGTAAAGCCCTGGATTTGAGTGGGGCTATTAATTGTAATCGACCTGAGCTTTGTAAGCTTAAGCCCAAGTTGAGTCGAATCCGAGTCGAGCCTTTTAGGCTCATTTTTCTAAACGAACCTTAAAAATTGTTCAAACTCTGTTCGTTTAAAACACGAGTCAAACTCGAGTCGTGTCCTATCTAAGCTAAGTTCAAATAGTTCGGTTCAATTAATAACCCTAATATTGAGGCATGCCTGCATACAGTCTAAAATGTGTTGATGTGTTGTAAAATAAAAGTTCAATGCTCACACTTATCAAACACTTCAAACATTTTATCATACAACGTGCAGTTGGGTCACAAGATGCTGTTTGAAGAAATTTACCATAATCTAAAAAACATAGGCATTTTAGGAACACGAGTCAAGTTCAAGTCGAGTCCTATCTAAACCGAGCTCTTATAGCTCAATNATAGTACGGTCAAGCCCATCACCTTCAGACATTTTTTTTGCAGCTAAAAAAGTAATTGTCTCTCCCAAAACAAAATTCAGTGTTACAACATTTATATCACTGACGTCGTTATTGCGATTAAATAAAATTGTGCATTCAATGAGAAAGATTAGAGTCACTATACCAACCACATTCAATCGTGAATAAATTATAAATATCAATTCATTTAGATTGTGACATCGGTTTATTGTGCATGGAAGTTGCACGATTTCTCGTGGATTGCTTTCAATCTAAAAAGTGAGAATTTAGAATTTTAAAAAATGGGACCCAACAGAAGCTTCAAATTATATTTCAAAAATTATATTTACGCTTCAAATTTAGACCACCCTTAAAGGCTACAAATCTGATCACCTACACGTGCTAATGCACACATCAACATTAAAAAAGTAAAACTCTCAACTACAAAACTGGTAATCCATTTCAAATGAACACCCATAGTTCCTCACTAATTCTACTAAATACACAGAACAACACAATAAAAAAAATAAGAAATATTGAATGGGACAAACCAAAAACATGTTGACAAATCAAACAACCATAGTCTACAACCAAATTATAAGATTAAAACTATTTGCAATAGACGAATTAAATTAATCGTAACAATAGGGTAGGCAAGTGAATAAATACTTCATATGGAAAAGATGAGCATTAAAAATACAGATAAGTATATACCAACATATGAAGTGCAAGAAATAGATGAGAAACTATTAAAATGAACCTAATGTCAAGAATAAGAAGTGCAAGAAATGGATAAAGTTTAAAAAATAAAAGTTGATTGCAAAAGCATGTGTATAATTGTTTTAAGGAAGTTGTGCAATAACCAACAAAAATAGTCCTAACGATGTAAAGTTGTTGCATAAAATGACACTTAAAAAAATTTTAATTCAATAANGAGTCGAGCCTTTTAGGCTCATTTTTCTAAACGAATCTTAAAAATTGTTCAAACTCTGTTCGTTTAAAACACGAGTCAAACTCGAGTCGTGTCCTATCTAAGCTAAGTTCAAATAGTTCGGTTCAATTAATAACCCTAATATTGAGGCATGCCTGCATACAACCTAAAATGTGTTGATGTGTTGTAAAATAAAAGTTCAATGCTCACACTTATCAAACACTTCAAACATTTTATCATACAACGTGCAGTTGGGTCACAAGATGCTGTTTGAAGAAATTTACCATAATCTAAAAAACATAGGCATTTTAGGAACACGAGTCAAGTTCAAGTCGAGTCCTATCTAAACCGAGCTCTTATAGCTCAATTCGATTAAAAGTCTTAATTTTGAGGTATGCGTGCACATAGTCTAAAATGTGTTGTAAAATAAAAGTTCAATGCTCACACTTTTTAAACCCTTCAAACATTTTATTATACAACGTGAAGTTGGGTCACGAGATAGTGTTTGAAGAAATTCACCGTAATCTAGAAAACATGGATATGACCTAAAATATTAATATGATACAATATAGAGACAATGATATAACTTAATCTAAAAAAAATTAGGAAGAATTACATCCGGACCCTTGAGATTTGTCATTTAATCACTTAGACTCCCTGACATTTGAAATATTACACACAGACCCCTGAGGTTTATACGCACGTAACACTTAGACCCCTACTATAAATATATCCATTAATAAATTACACTTAAACTTCCTTGAAGTTTGTAGGTATATAATAATTAAACCTTTTAAATTTAAAATATTATACTTAAACAAAAAAATACTCCAATAAAAGATAGAATATCAAATATTTTAAATTTTACAACTAAAATTCATATTATATTGTATCATTTATTGAATAAAATTATAATTAAAAATTTAATTTTTTTCTTAAAAAATTATAATTAATATACAATTTTATTATCTATTAGAATAAAACTAAAAAATCAAATAAAGGGTTTAAATCATTCATAATAGAATATAAATTTTTCATCCAAAATTCATGTTCTATTATGTCATTTATTGAAATAAAATCAAAAATAAAAATTTAGTTTTTTTACAAAAAAATCATAATTAGTATATAATTATACTATCTATTAGAATAAAACTAAAAAATTAAATAAGAGGTCAAACTGTAATTGACACAATATCTTTTAGTTTTAATTGGGATAATTTGGTATTTTAATTTGGTCATTTAAACGACCAAGTTAAATTTTAATAGACAATATAATTGTATACTAATTATAATTTTTTAAGAAAAATTAAATTTTTATTTTTGATTTTATTTTAATAAAAGATAAATAGAACATAAATTTTAATCGTAAAATTTAAAATATTTGATATTTTATCTTTGATTGAAATATTTTTGGTCTAACTATAACATTTTAAACTTAAGAAATCTAAATAATATATGTTTACAAACTTCATGGGTGTGGTTGCAATTTATTAACGGATATTTTTATAGTAGGGATCTAAGTGTTACGTACGTACAAATTTAAAGGGGTCTATGTATTATATGTCAAATGTCATGGAGTCTGAGTGATTAAGTGACAAACTTCAGGAGATCTTGGTATAATTCTCCCAAAAAAATAAGATATAGGTATGACCTATATACTTTTACGTTTTATTATAATCTAATAAAATTTTCAAAAAATAAACAATATTTAGTAGCTGGTTTAGCCGGGAATAGCAATTGCCAATAGATAGGATGTAACCAACTCATTTTTATGTACTTTTGACTTGATAATGCTTAAGAAAAACATTGTGCCTTTCAAAGCCATATTTTTCTAGGCAAAATAAAAAGAGAATTATGCAAAAAGTATCTTAAAATATCAGATTGGTATATTGTTGAATATCTAATACATGTTGGATTTGATATGTATTTGATACGAATAATTCCGCCCAAACATAACATTTTTGTTTCCTAGGCTATAATCTTCTTCTTTTTTTTTGTTTAACGGTCAAGGGTGTTCGAATTAGGTTATGCGCACATCAATTAATCTACTCTCCGGTTTGGTCAAAGACAAACTATCCATACCGGGACTGAGATATTCATGAACAATAAATCCCTCGTGACCTAGACTTAAAAAATTTGCCAAAATTCGAACACTTAGATTTGTAACTCGTTGATTTTAAGGGTTGATGTTTCCTTAGCTATAATCAGCAAAGTTGGGGTGAGAAAGTTACCAATTGTGTCATAAACAAGATCATATTTCTCCTCAACCTCTTCATATCTAGTCTTGTTGTAGTCAACAACCTTATCTGCACCCAAGCTCTTCACAAACTCCACCTTTGAAGTACTAGTTGTTGCCGCCACCACAGAAGCTCCATACATTTGCTTAGCCAGCTGAACAACCAGTGTTCCGACGCCACCGGCTCCGCCAACCACGAAAACAGTCTGACCCTCTCTAAACCCCACAATTTTGAAACCTTCAACTGCTGTTTGAACTGCCAAAGGCAAGCTTGCTGCTTCCTCAAACGAAACGTTTTTCGGCTTTGCAGCCACCAAATTTTCCTCTACAACAATGAATTCTGCCAGTGTCCCAAGCTGCCTCATCTTCCCTTCTGCAGTGAAATCTTGTATGTTCCCATACACCTCATCTCCGATGTCAAATCTCGATACGTCGCCTCCTTTCACCACCACAACTCCGGCCATATCGCATCCCGGGATCACCTGTGTCAACATTAACATCATGTTCGCTTGCACGCATAATTGTATTACTAGGAGGAACTTATATAAATGAAGCTTTTTCATGTTAATTCAACAAATCCGACATTAACTGATGCCTGTGACAAAGCACGATTAAAGACTTCTTGACGTGTGTAATAAGGGTTGATCAAAGCAACATGCTCGACTTGTAGCTAAAGGGTACAGGCAACAAGGACCAAAGAATTATTGAATGCTAATATTTCTGAGTTTTTTAGACTTACAGGGAAATCTATAGGAACAATGGGTTGTTGGCGCAGCTTGAAATCAATAGGATTTAAAGCAGATGCTTTAACTTGGACAAGCAATTGGTACTGTTTGGGAGTAGGAATTGCCAAGTCTCCTAGCTTGAGCACTTCCTTGGAACCATACTCTTCATACATCCAAACTTTCTGCATACTTCTTTTTATAGATTTCACAGAAGTTTGAAGCAGAAGAACTGAGGAGTAGCTGAATGTCTTATCTTGAAGAAATAGTAACAAAATATGATGGAGTTACAGAGAAATTACCAGAATCTTGGGGAGCTTCTATGAAAATTTTAAGGTATAAAATGAAGTCAAAGAGAAGGAAGGAATTGAAAGACAGGGTACTAGTAATCTTCTTTTTTTGAAAGGACAGACTGGTTTGATGATATTCTTGTTTCCATGCATGAAATGAATTTCATGGTTCAAGTTGGAAGTATCGATACTAAGACACATCTATCGTCACCTCACGGAATGGTATCCATCGATATCTTTGCTTTCACTTGTTTATATAAACTTCATAGAAGTCTGAAACTACAGATATGCTAAGGTGTAGCTGAATGGCTCATCTTGAGAGAGGAGGAGGACAAAATATGATGGGATTATACAGATACTACCATAAGCTTGGGGGATGAAAAATATAAAAATAATAATAAAAACAAGAGGGTATCCAAAAAAATCTTGTGTATTTATGATGGAATTGACAAATGGATTAGGAAAGTTGATGGAGCTTGCTCTATTTTCAGAAGAGCGAAGTTCAATTGAATGATGAATAGGATAATGTTTTTTTATTATTATTATTATTTGAAAGGACACGGTGGGTTTGAAATTCATTGTTTCTATGAATGCTTTCCACTAAACAGTAATTTTTTTTTTTTTTTTTTTTGCTACAAGGTGTCCAAATTTTCGTCGACTACTCTCGAGTTCAGCGGCTGATCATTATGACTTAAAGCTGGTTTAGAACATATCCCTAAACCTAAACATTTAATTTAATTTATTGATTTAATAAAGTGATTACATTATAATCTTTAAATTAATATCAAATTTTAATATTTAATGAAACCCACAATTAATTCAAGAATTATAATGAATTAGATTAATAATGCGTTTTAAGATATCATAAGGCTAAACCAAAACAAGCAATATTACACGACAGGACGTTATAAATGGTATGAGAGTTATTAACACTCATGACATGAAAGCCATGTAATCTATAATAACCCTTGTCTGCTTTTCGTTCCAAAAGAATGGTAACAACTAGAGTGGTAAAAGTTATCTTTACAAGTCATGTCGTGAATTTTTTTATCTCGAAAATTATTTGTCGATGAAGAGATATCAAAATGACTTCTTACTTTCTAAATAGGTCAAATAAATGGTGAAATGTCTATAACACGAGTCTAAAAATGTTGTACAATCATCAAGGTATCAAATACATACATTTAATTATACGGTGTGTTTGATACAGACAATATTATGGTATCCAAGAGGTTCGACATAGAAATTTTTTGATTTAGATCTTATTTGTTTGTAATTGTCGACATAGAAATAATAAAGTGAATAAAATAATAAAAATATTTTTTTAGTACTATAGTTGAACATGCATATGCTTTTGTGACTACAAGGGGAATGTTTATTGATGATGATATCTTGTCAACTAGCTCCATTACCCTCAAACAAGCATATTTCTAAGGGTTAATTACAATTTGTTCTCTTTAATTATGTCTCTTGTTGCAATTAGTTTCTTGTAATTTCAAATGTTTGTAATTTACCCCCCCTAAAGTTTCAAGTAGATTAAATTGACTAACAACAATGATTGAACATTTTTGGAAGAATCATTACACCCTCTGCCTTGTACATTATTTTTTATATTTTTTCTTAATATACCAATTTTATCTCTAAAAAATAAGAAAACAAAAAAGTCANTAATGATTGAACATTTTTGGAAGAATCATTACACCCTCTGCCTTGTACATTATTTTTCATATTTTTTCTTAATATACCAATTTTATCTCTAAAAAATAAGAAAACAAAAAAGTCAAGATAAAAATTATATCAATTTAGACCAATACCAACACACTACCAAACACCATATTCATCTTCACCTTCACCTTTGTCTCTGCCTCATCAGAGGGATGAGAGAATTTTTGCCAGAAGGGGGAAGAGAATGAGAGTTAACATCCGAGATCGGGAAATATGGAAGGGTTTTTGAGTATATGCGGTTATGGGTTTGCTTAGGAAAGTATGGATATTTGGTAAAAAGGGAAAAATATGTGCAAGGGTAATTATATTTTTTTAACAAAGTAGAGATCACGTGAATTTGATACGTCTAATTTTTATTATCCAAAAAATAACTATTGGAATTAATTATGCTCAATTTAAACAACTTAGATGAGATCATCCATTTAAGATGGTTTTGGTACACTCAACATCCAAATGAATCTAATCCATTAGTGGATGGAAACCCTTCCTAAAGAGACATGGCCGACAGATACCTAACTCACTTGGAACTAGCTTGTTATGAGATCACAAATAAATAGCAAAATCAAGCAGAAAATACAAAAAATTTATCGCTCAATTTTATGTCTAAAATTTTATTATTACTTAATCGAATTTATACTCATATTTTTTTTACAAGAATTAAAAAATTGATATTTTATTTTTATAATATTACTTAACACATGTTAATTTCATGTTATTCGTATTTGACATTAACTTAACCTATTTATTATTTGTACTAATGGGTCGTGTCATATACAGATTCGTGTCAAAAAATAATTAATCCTAATCCGTTAATTTCGTTTCAATTTTGAATCATATTTTTATGTTATGTCAAAAATTATCAAACAAAATAGAAAATGCAATTCTACTATTGAAACATTTTCGAGGAATGAAGCTCATATCAACATCAACATGACTCTTGGCTAAGGTGAAACCTTGTGGCAATCGACCTAGAGGCATATGGCCCATCCATTATTGGATAAGTAAAAGAAAAAAGAGACATTGATCCTAAATTACTAAAAATAAGAAATTCTAATGGTTTTAAATTATTAAAAAACTCAAATAAATACGCAATATTCTGAAAATATCTCAAACAATGGGATATAAATAGAAAAAGTATCATAAACGTTATTTTTTTTGGGCTAAAACCTGATTGAGTTAAATTTTTCAATCTTACTCAGATCACCGAGAGCTTTATGAAATGGGGCTTTATGAAATTTT